TGAAGCGTTCCGCACAGCACACCCAGGCATAAAACTTTTAAGACTCATTTAAATATATCAAAGCAGCGAATAGAGAGAGAGCCTGGGACTAGGCTGAGTGGGGGGTATACTTGTTTGGATTTGCACATTTAAAATTTACAAGTGCATTAGGTCTCTTAGGTTGTAACCTGAAGTTCAGGCCCTAATTTGAAATAGGGCCTGACACAAAACCTGTCTAGACTGTGGGACGCCCACATGTTATTTTTAGACACAACATGCAATATGATTGACAAGTGTTATAGATTTCGTTACACAAAAAAATTCTATTCTCATGAACATGTCCGCAGAGTGTGCATTTTGCTTTATAATTAAACTTAAAAATCCAAGGTACTTTTATATAAATAAGATTCAGACAAAGATTTAATTAGTCAGTTCTGTGCACGGCTAGACTGCCAAGCATTCTCAAGGTCTCAACTTGCTGGACGCGGATATTAGGGATATACTTTATTAAAACGGGCTAACAACAGCAACAATGAAATTCTCAATCGTACCACGAAGAAGGCGATGTAGCTCAGAAAACAACGCCGGTAGGACCTGATATTAAAAATAAGACTTTTTCCGGCGAAGCCAGTTGGCAAAACATCTTGGCTGTCAACAACAAGCTTTCGAATACATGACTAGTTTGGCTGTTCTTTCGGCGTCGTGTGTCCAAAATTCGTCCAAGATTTTGATAAAGCCCTTTCAAAATACTGTTTGTTTGATTTATTTTCTGCCATAAAACATAAAAGAAAAAGAAATTCGAAGAAATCGATAATGGAATTTGTACGTGCGTTTGACCTTTAATATTAATTGTCGCCTTGACCGAGCTATTCTTAAAACTGTTGTTTATGTAAACTTGCAACCAATCAAAATCCTTCATGATGCTGATCAACCAATCAGATTTCCCGTCCACCAGGTGGACGGGAATCTCACCCTTTAGATAGGTTTTGTGTCAGGCCCTATTCTGTGATTAGGGCCTGAACTTCAGGTTACTTAGGTTGTAGTTTTAAGACCAAAGTGAGGGAGTGAGATAAACTCGGCTAGCTAAGCTAAGGCATCAAGCCTTTTTTGGGCCGCAAACCTTTTTTCAACACCAAATGTGAAATTAACCCCACGTTACCAAATCGTTGAACAATAATGCTGGATATCCTGGGCAAATGTGC